GGGGGGGGGGGGGGGGGGGGGGGGGGGGGGGGGGGGGGGGCATGACGCACGATTGAAAGGTCCGGGACAAGGCCCTCGTGGGATCACTATGTTGTGATCATAGGAAGACACTTTTGACGGTGCCTCACTCTACGCAGGTGTAAACAAGAGCAGCGGAGAATTTAATGCCGGGGGTAAACCCCATGCTAACGAGACCGGGATATGCTATGTAGCTCTAAGTGAAGGAAACCGGGTTAAGCTCCTGCCTGATCGGATACTTAAGCCGAACGCAGCCTTTTTCTTACAGGAGCTGTGTCCTAAAATTTATCAAAAATTTAGACAGTGGGAACTGCCACCAAATTTCGTGAAACATTAAAATAACGCCTCAAAAAAGTTAAAACAAGGTATAAATGTCACAGCGAATACAAAAGCAAGCACGGACTTGCACGGACGGCACTAGCCTCCTACGCAGACGTTCTTAGGAGTTCGTGGGGCAGGAACGCGTGACGAACCCCTAACAACTTCTGCGTGGGAGGCTAGGACGGCCAGCAGGGACAGATACACTTGAAGAAGATTGAAACGGATTGCAATAGTCATTTTTAAAAACTTGTTAACCTTACAGCTTTTTAAGTTCATTTTTGTTGTTAACGGTTGATATAACATTTGTTTGACAAAAAGCTGTGATTTTGTCACTCACACTATAATTTCACAGATAATTGAAGGGCCGGTTAACGTGGAGGTGGAGCACCCCAGATAGGTGAGGTAACCCAAGGCGGGTCACCCCACCTATCGTTTAAAAATGAGAAAATATATGGACAGGTGGGTTACCCCACCTAAGCGAGTTACCTCACCTACCTGGGGTCCCACACCTCCATGTAAACAGGCCCTAAGTTTCGTAGCGAATAAGGACATGTAACTGGCATTATAAACAAAATGAACTAGCCAGCAATGACACATTCCCTTTAACCAGCTTGATGTTTATTAAGAAAACCCTTTTCCATTCCAAAACCTCAGACATGGTTCGTACAACTTCAGACAAACAAGGACTTTTCAAAGATTTTTCAAGGACAAATCACAGTTTTCAAGGACTAAGACTTATTCAATAAATCAGCATTCCTTAACCCCCTTTTGAACACCTCATGCATAGCTAAAACACGTCATGGATTCCTTTTCGATTTTTACTTCTTCGGCCAAGGTTGATCACCTTATTTTATAATTTCCGCAACAACACTTTGCAAAATGACTTGCAATTGCATCTGAGGTACAGAAATAGCATTCGAAATAAAGAAACAAAAATAAGATATTGTTCAGGCACAAAAACTGTTTTAGGTTACCCGTGAGTTTTACAGGGTCTTACACCGAGGATGAGCCAAATTTCCCTCTGCAAAAAATCTAATTTTACAGAAAATTGTGTCGGGCATGGACGAGGTAGTGAATTTCAAGGACTTTTCTAGACCTAATAAAGAAATCAAGGACTTTTCAAGGACTTTTCAAGACGACCGCTAAAACTCAAGACCTTTTCAAGATTGTACGAACCATGCTCAGAGATCCGACCCTCCAGTCAAGGAAAACTAGACGCATACGAGATAAATGAAATTTGCCAGTTGGCGATACCATCTATAAACGACCCCAGCTCTCTATTTTATGTGTAGGAGCTTGGTAGCACACACACAAAAAAAACTCGAAGCCTGTTGAAATGGTAAAACCAATGCTTTAGAAAACCAATACTTATAGCTAACTGAAAATTTATGAAAAAGTTTTCGTAGCTGATAGTCGAGGTCACAGTTTACAACAAGTTGGGTTGCGCTTTCGTGAACACATCCGCACCTTTCAGAAGTCTTCGGATAAACGAGCGGCACTAGTACGTTATGACGATTCGTGACCAAAACTAACAACAGCTAAAGAAGACGACGTGGTCTTTATGCTGTAGCAGTTTGTTGCAGTTTCATCAGTCACTTTCACAGCTGGAACATTGCTTTGATTTATTCAGCGAATCTGGAGGATTCCCGCCTCGTATAACTTCGTGATTTTGCGCTGAATTTCGGGATTTTTGATTTATTCCCTTTGGCAGTTTTTCGATGTTTATCGAATAATATTGCATTAAAAGTCCTTTTTCTTCATCACTGTGTGGTTTTCTCGTTATTTTGCGTTGCGACAGTGATTTCTGAACCGTTTTTTGCGTGAGCTTATTTTAGGCCTGATTTTGCTGCTATCAGACGGAAAAAGTTCGCGGCTCGATATTTTTGGTTTAAAGCGAAACTGAAACAAAAGAAATTCATTTTTGAATAGTATTCGGTAACCTCTACTTAAGCGGTAAAAATCGGCCGATTTTATTTTTTAGCCCGGAAATCATCGGTCGTTTCTTAGGCGCAGGGCCTCTTAAGAAGGAAGGTTCCTACGCGCGCGCAATTTCTCCCTTCTCTTCCAAAAGCTTGACAATCAGGCTAATTTGTTTGAGAGGGGAAGCGGGGGGGCATGACGCACGATTGAAAGGTCCGGGATAAGGCCCTCGTGGGATCACTGTGTTGTGATCATAGGAAGACACTTTTGACGGTGCCTCACTCTACGCAGGTGTAAACAAGAGTAGCGGAGAATTTAATGTCGGGGGTAAGCCCCATGCTAAGGAGACCGGGATTTGCTATGTAGCTCTATGTGATGGAAACCGGGTTAAGCTCCAGCCTGATCGGATACTTAAGCCGAACGCAGCCTTTTTCTTACAGGAGCTGTGTCCTAAAATTTATCAAAAATTTAGACAGTGGAAACTACCACCAAATTTCGTGAAACATTAAAATAAAACCTCAAAAAAGTTAAAACAAAGTATAAATGTCACAGCGAATACAAAAGCAAGCACGGACTTGCACGGACGGCACTAGCCTCCTACGCAGACGTTCTTAGGGGTTCGAGGGGCAGGAACGCGTGACGAACCCCTAACAACGTCTGCGTGGGAGGCTAGGACGGCCAGCAGGGACAGATACACTTGAAGAAGATTGAAACGGATTGCAATAGTCATTTTTAAAAACTTGTTAACCTTACAGCCTTTTAAGTTCATTTTTGTTGTTAACAGTTGATATAACATTTGTTTGACACAAAGCTGTGATTTTGTCACTCACACTATAATTTCACAGATAATTGAAGGGCCTGTTTACGTGGAGGTGGAGCACCCCAGATAGGTGAGGTAACCCAAGGCGGGTCACCCCACCTATCGTTTAAAAATGAGAAAATATATGGACAGGTGGGTTACCCCACCTAAGCGAGTTACCTCACCTACCTGGGGTCCCACACCTCCATGTAAACAGGCCCTAAGTTTCGTAGCGAATAAGGACATGTAACTGGCATTATAAACAAAATGAACTAGCCAGCAATGACAAATTCCCTTTAACCAGCTTGATGTTTATTAAGGAAACCCTTTTCCATTCCAAAACCTCAGACATGGTTCGTACAACTTCAGACCAACAAGGACTTTTCAAAGATTTTTCAAGGACAAATCACAGTTTCCCTCTGCAAAAAATCTAATTTTACAGAAAATTGTGTCGGGCATGGACGAGGTAGTGAATTTCAAGGACTTTTCTAGACCTAATAAAGAAATCAAGGACTTTTTAAGACGACCGCTAAAACTCAAGACCTTTTCAAGATTGTACGAACCATGCTCAGAGATCCGACCCTCCAGTCAAGGAAAGCTAGACGCATACGAGATAAATGAAATTCGCCAGTTGGCGATACCATCTATAAACGACCCCAGCTCTCTATTTACGTGTAGGAGCGTGGTAGCACACACACACAAAAAAAAACTCGAAGCCTGTTGAAATGGTAAAAACAATGCTTTAGAAAACCAATACTTATAGCTAACTGAAAATTTATGAAAAAGTTTTCGTAGCTGATAGTCGAGGTCACAGTTTACAACAAGTTGGGTTGCGCTTTCGTGAACACATCGGCACCTTTCAGAAGTCTTCGGATAAACGAGCGGCACTAGTACGTTATGACGATTCGTGACCAAAACTAACAACAACTAAAGAAGACGACGTGGTCTTTGTGCTGTAGCAGTTTGTTGCAGTTTCATCAGTCACTTTCACAGCTGGAACATTGCTTTGATTTATTCAGCGAATCTGGAGGATTCCCGCCTCGTATAACTTCGTGATTTTGCGCTGAATTTCGGGATTTTTGAGATGGCTGTGGAAAAATAAGAAGTCAACTTTTACGGTCACTGTATTTGGCAAGAAGTCCAAACTCTCACAAAGCCTGAAAACTGTACAACACACAATAAAAAGACAAGAGATGTTAAGAAAACTGCTTAATAGGAAGGTGTGCCCTCGGGCTTTCTCGTGTTCACGCGAATGCCCTGACGAATGCTCGCGATAGCGCGTGTCGCTTACACGTTTTCGTTCTTTCAAAATAGAAAGAGAGACCTGTTAGACCCTTACCCAGTCGCTATTTATAAGTGTGGTGTAGCCTGGCCAGCAATCGCTTCCGAGAGAGTTCGTCGAGAAAGCTGGGACTAGAGCAAAAAAAAAGGAATCCTTTTCTTTTGCTCTCGCTCCAACTTGCGCGCAATAACTCGATTGCAAACGATTGCTACGCTTGCTACGCGAGCCAAGTCTGGTGAGAAGAGAGAAGATTAGATATCTGGGAGAAGAAAGAAGATTGGATGAAAATGAGGCCAGGCGGAACTCATGGGGAAAGCGTGGAGAAAATAGCGACTGGCAGTTTTCGCCCCTTCCCCCCTCCAGGGACCGCCAGTTAGGGGGGCAGGGTGTGAGGGACGAATGACATTTAAAACTAGTTTCGTAGTTCCGGGCGATTTGTTGTAGAGCCGTGCAAGTTACTTCTTCCCTTCCTATAACACCCCACGCGCCTCAATCTAACCTCAATCTTCTCTCACCCAAAAACACATCAAAGCGACTACGCACGAGTCTGGACCTAAAAGTCTTTGTACAATACTCACTCTTGAGCCGCTTTTGGATCCTCTTGCATCTGTTCGAGTATCATTCTCATAGCTGGATCAGAAAGTATGTCCTAAGGGTAGA